AGCTCGCTTTTTTTTTCTTTTTTTCTTTTTTTTTTTTCTTTTTTGAGCCATGGTTTAATCATTACACGGGCCCTTGGGGGGGGGGCATAAGAACACAAAATGAGTCGAGCAATGGTGGCACAAACCTTTAATCCCAGCACTTGGGAGGCAGAGGCAGGTGAATCTCTGTGAGTTCAATGCCAGCCTGGTTTACAGAGCGAGTACTAGGAGAGGCTCCAAAGCTACTCAAACAAACCCTGTCTCGAAAATATCATTTGCCCCTTTTTACTGTAGTGTCCTTAGTCCTAGTGATAGGAAAGAGATGGATAAGAGCCCTGCATCATCAATGCAGCAATGCACTGTACTGTACTTGTGACTTCCATTGCTTTGCTTTTCACTTACATGAAGAAAAGGAAATTGTCCCCCCAGATTTGGAATCAGTGTGTCAAAAGAAGTTTGATACACTGCCATGTTCAGTAACCTGAGAGTCAACACAAAACATCCAAAGTGGATATGCTGGTACATGTGACATGAATATGTGGGACATGCATTCTGTAGTAATATCCTCCTGATTGAAACCTGAAGAGGAAGGTTTGCTATGCCAAGTAAGTACACTTGAGCCAGCATGATTTTTGCTGGCTTTGTTGTTTGTTAAAAGTTTTACTGATCTTTAATTCTCAAACTATACAACTCATCCACTTAAAAATGCACTGTTAGCCAGATATAGTGAAATGTACCTATAAGCCTTGCACTTGGAAGCTGAGGTAAAATTGTGAGTTGAAAGCTTGCCTGTGCTACAAACTAAGTTCAGGGCCAGCCTGGGCTACAAAGTAAATGTAAGGCCATCCTGGGTTGTAGTAGAGAGACCATGCCTCAAAATCAACAATTGACAGACTTTATTATATTCACAATTGTGCAACTATTATTTTGTCAACTTTAGGATATCTCCATCATTTCACAGCAACCAGGTGAGCTGGAGGTCTAGTTCAGTGTCAGTTCCTAGCACTAAGAAAAAAAGCAATGAACAATGTGCTATCCACTTAATGGCATATTACAAAGGAAGACAGTTCTAATAGTAGAGCATGAGTGAAGACATTGTATGAAGTAGAATAAGAGGCACAAGACAACACATGCTATCTGATTCCATTCTTGAGTTCTGGAGTATCCAATTTCAAGAAGACAGAATAGTCATTGCCAGGCACTTGGGAAATCACTAAATGGTAAATGGAGTTTGGGGAAGATGAAAAAGTAATGGAAATATTGTTGCATTTTCAAGACAATGTGTGAACTTAATGCCACTCAGCTTCCACTTGAGAATAGCTAAACTGGTACATTTTGTTATGTGTATTTTACCACAATTATTGGGGGGGGGGAATCCCCTACCCAGTATCAGTCACCTTCTGTTCCCTTATCAAATCTTGGGTAATCATAAATTTAAGTCATGTTTGCCTATACTGGATATTTCATATAAATGGACTCACACAGCACATGACTTTGTGTCTTTCATCTTGCACAGTGAACTCTATTCTCTTTTTAATTCGAAGAATATTGTGTTGTCTTGTGTTGCTATACCAAAGCTATTTGACGCTAGTTGGACACTGGGGTATTCATTTCAGGACAGTTATGAGTAATAGTATGAGTTTACATGTGCAAGCTTTCCTGTGAACACATTTTTGTTTCTATCGGAATTAGCCCTTTGAGGGTCTACCTTGTTTCCAACGTTCACCGTGCTATTTTGCATCCCTGCCAGCAGAATTTGAATTTTTTGTTCTTACACAGATAC